GTGGATTTTTTAAATGGAAAAGACACAGTGTGCATGATACAAGCCTGAGAAGGAAGGCAACCCAAAAGACAAGTTAGTGTTTGCATATGAATATGAACTCAGTGTAATGTTTAGAGTGAAGGCAGGGGCTAAGAAATGGTCTGGGAAATGAGAATGAATATCAGAGTCAAGGTAGAAGTGCTCCTAGTGCTTTGCAGAAAATGGCAAAGAATCTGGATTAGACAGGGAGCTGGATAAGAGGATAATAACAAAGGTGAGGATACACTGAGTATCTTAATGAAATCCCAAGCATTTCCCCTCACTTCTGTCACTTGTGGAAGAATCTGTTTGAATTCCTTCATGGACAATTTGAAAATTAGCATCAGAGGATAGTCAGGAAACCATAGATTTCTTCTTCCTTGTCCAGGGACAGTTCACCATTTCTGCTTCTGTAGACAAGGAATGTTATACGGAATTACCTCCCATCGTTTATGTCTGTGGGTTATGCAAGAACTAGTTTGGATCACTGTACCACTACTGCAATTAGCAGCATGGTAGTGTCTGATGCCACTGGGTTTAGCTAGGGACTTGCAGAAAGAATGAGCTAGCTTTTTAATCAGCTATTGAAGATACCTGCCAAATAGAGATTACAGTACAAAGGGCAGATAGGGACAGAGAAGAAATCCAAGCCTAACCTTAACATGACTGGTGGCGACTTGCTGATCTTTGATGATTACCCCTAAAGAAAGGACAGATACTCAAGATGCCTATTGGGCAGCTCTTCAGTGGTCCGGAGATCTTCTGATGAATCTGTCACGTTTTGAACTCGTGCCCTGAGACCAAGGCAACTGGGTAAGCTGGCCTGCCTTGAAAAAAGAGGAAAAGCCCAGAGTGACGCCACTGGAAAGTGCTGCTTCATCAGATCGATAGATTCAAAGATGACTAGGTTGTGTAGTTGTATGCAGTTTAAACATTTGTGCAGGGAGTCTACCCGTGCAGAGTATTATTGACAGCTACAGATCAATGCTAATTTTTGATCATTTTCAACCTACAAAGACCTCTTGACCCTGTTGCCACCTTAGGGGCACTTCAAGTAGTCAAAAGCAATCACAGTAGGCAGTGTAAAATCATCAGACCCTTGAAGGCTGCACAGCCTTGCCCGTGCCCAGGAGGAGGACCAAGAGGTAGCAAGGAAGGCAGGCACCTTGCATTATGGATGCCACTGCCTTTGAACGGCATGAAAGACTATGCTAATTTGTTTCCAGAATTTAAGTGACTTCTATGCTCATGAATTAAAAAATAAACAAACAAAAAAGGCAATCTGAAGCAAATCTTGATGGATGTATTATTCATGATTCATGTTCTCTTGTTTTATGTTTTCAAAAATATGTTAAAACGAGGTTTTATTTTAAATAACTTTTATTCTAATTTACAGTTAAAAGAGTGGAATTGCTCTTAACAGCTTGTGCTGCCACTGGCAGTGTGTGAAGCATTTTACAAAGCAAGACCAAAGGTGGGGTCCTGCCTGGAGTAGTGGTAGTGCTGCCAGAGCTGTTTCAGGGAAGGGAACCAGGCTGCCATAAGCAAGGGCCATGTCAAAGGCTGAGCTCTGGGCTACAAGGTGGGATCAAGTCACAGTGGCTCATCACAGCCTGTCTCAGGTGTCCATTCCCATAGTGTTTACATGGAAAGACTGGGCCATATAGGAGGAATGTGAGAGTGTACACTAAAATGTTTGCTGAAGTATTCTTAATTTACTGACTGATGGAGTGAGAATGTTTCACAATAGGAGAAAGAGAAAGGAGGACATGGGCTTGTAGTCCATTGGATTTCATGGTCAGTCAGTCTATGAACATCTTAATGTTTGCATTAAAATTTTATTTTGTTGGTTTGCTTTCAATGGGGAATGAAATCTGGACTGTTAGCATGTGTAAACATGGGATATGTGAGTTTATGGCTATGCAGAGAAAGACTGGGAGAATATCCAAGGCAATGATTTTGTTCCTGCGCCTGTTTAAGGCTGTGTCGTCCGCTGAAGCCAAAGTTATAGTGCTATCCCTTGCAAGGTGTATTTTGCAATTTATATTTGACCATTCCAGCAGGACAGTATTTCTAGGCTGAAAATGTCATAGGAGGACATAAAGTGATTCTTAAAATGAATCACCGAGTCTGCCATCCACCCTCTTTTCAGCATCAGCCTTTGAGCTGAGCAAATTCACAACTGGCATGGCAGCAGTGCAGGGGGAGAAAGCGGGGCTCTGTACTCTGGGAGTGCATCCCCTGAGCTTACTTCAAAACCAAACAAAACAAAAATACATGTAAACCGTTTGCTCTTCAAGAAGTATCTGTAGGAGCCAGGGATAAAAGTCATCCCTGGAAGGAATGGTTTAGCAGTCTCCGGAGAACATGATGAACTGCAGGCAAGGAAATCCCTCCATCCTTGTTTCATTTCAAACTGTAGTGAGGATTGTAAATAATTAAATCTTGCAGTTTAGTGGGAAAATGGTAGAGGGTGATGAAAATATGCTAGTTTTCTGTTTAAAAACGGAAATCTAGTGTTTTGTAGCATTGCTGTCATGAAAACACACCCTGATGATGCAGCTCATTAGAAAACAGAGCCATTGCCTTTTGTCTGATGTTTGTAATAATGTGTTTGTACCTTCAGAGAGCCTCTGTGTAGCGGTTCAGGAGCAGTAATTTAATGTTGTGTGCTCCTCTCCTCCCATCCCCACCCCCCAGCCACAGAATGTAAATTTTAGGCTTTTAAAAGTTCTGTTTTGAAAACCTAATAGATGACTGTCCTCATAAAAACTATTAATACAGACTACATCCAATTGTAAAGCTAATTTTAATCATGTTTTGTGCCAACATAATTTCTAATGCCAGATTTTTATGCTAAGCATGAGCCTCGATTTGAGCACTGTTCTTTAACCTGCAGTTCATAATTTTGCAGTCGGCTGTATAGGTTTTTTGGCTATGGCAGTTTGAACGCTTCCACTTTCAAGGATCTAAGCCATAAATGTTTATTAAAAGAATCTATAATGAAATCAGGTTTGTTATTTTTTTAATGGCTGCCTTGAGTATGTTGGATGACTGAACGCACGTTGTTAATCATTAAGTACTCATGTTACAAAAAATGTTTGATAGTATTGCCATCTAGGGGCTGAACGAAATTCTCCATGCTGAAATAAACTGTAATTGAACAGGTGCTGCTATTGACAATATACATATGTTTTTGCTTTATAGCCCACATGCTTTCCATGTTTCTTATGACAAAAGATATCTCTAAATGTCCCACGGCAGCCAGAGCTTTCTTATATATAATCTGTTCGAGGTGATTGCTATTTGCATTTGAGCTTATGCTTTTTTGGCAGTGATGGCTGGGAATTCCTAACAAAGAATTATACTTTTTTGCATTATTAATCTTGCTAGTGTTTGCCCTGTTTAACAGAAAAAGGAATCATTTATCAGAAAAGTATGTTTATAATCTGTACTTGTGGCATCTTCAGATTTAATATTCATAATGGTCATTCAAATGCTGTGCTATATTTATCTAAAAGACTAACTCATTGTTGTGAGGAAATAACTATTTAAATATTTATAATCTAACTTTTAATATTTAAAAAAAGAAATTAATATTTCTTTAAAATTTGTTTCTGAGTCTGATAGCTTAACAAATGTTTAAATATTAAACAATTGGAAGTGTTAGCATTTAACAACTTAATATGACTGAAACAGGAAAATTGACTTCATCTCTTTCTGCCACACGAAGGCAACTGAATTTTTGCACTCCCCTTCTTGAGACTTATGTAGCTCATGCAAAAGCACAACTAAAAACGAGATTAAATATATTGGTGGTCAGCTGAACTCCTTTCTTCCTCGCTCATCTGACCAGACAAATCTGCACAGTCTCCTGTTGGAACATGTTACTCCTATTCAAAGTAATACCACAGCTGTGTCTCCTTCCTGCCTAGATCAGAGTTTGTGCCGAAGCTCTCTTTGCCTGAGCAGTGTCAGGTCTGTGTCAGATGCTGTTTGGGGTAAGCTGCCTAAAACTGTGAGCTGTGATGCCAGTGGCCCCTTCTGGCTGTGGCTGATGTCCATCACTCTGCATCCCCCACAGGTCTCTCTGCTGGGCGTGGTCTGGTGTGGTGGCAGGTCAGCCCCAGTCCTCGCAGCCCAGTCAGAGCCCAGTGGGATCCACGAACAGCCATGTTCTTCTCAGCCTCTCCCCACTGGTTCAAGGCAAAGAGGGAGGCACCAGGGAGGGTCTAGGCTGCTTGCTCGTGACCCCATCAGCAATGTGGCTGCTTCCTCCAACCTGGAGAAACAGGGAGGGTTCTTGAAAGCCAGCAGGTTGCCCTACAGTCATCTTACATTGTGAATTTATCTCAAACACCATCTTTGCAAAGCAGGAACATAGGAACTAGTTTATTCAGTCTCTATACTTGCCCATCCATTCCCCCCATCCCTCCTTTCCCTCCCCCCCCATTTTTAAGGGATTTGTTTTCAGTAAGGAAATTAAACCATACTCTTGGAAACACTGTTTATCTAGTTTATAATGCCCTAAGTAGCTAGGACAGGACAGCCTATGAAATGTCACATCTACACACAAGATGTGTGTAGAAGATTTCTGTAGAAGCAGGCATCACTCTTATACTACAGGTTTTTATGTGCTTGAATCCTCCATAGTTCCAGGCAGCCTCATCCTCACTGAGCAAAGCTCAGACACGTGCTGAACTATAATCTATTTGATAGCTGAGATTCAGACTCTGCAGGACTCCCAAGGAGTCAGCTCCAAAGGCTTTACCATAATGATAGATACTTTTTTTAAAGCCTAAGAGTTCTAAGAATTAAGGTTCAATCATGAAAAACCACTAAAAAAATCCTGGTAACCAGATGGGGTATTCTGCAAAGCGGTCAGAAGTGACTCAAAGCTGAGGCCTCATTTTCCAAGTGACATAAACCACAGATGCTGATTACTTTTTTAACTAACTCAAACATCTGTATTTTTGCTTCAGGGAACGAAGCATCAGGCTCATTTATTTGGATTGAAACCTTTCACAACATATCATATTCATGTCGTAGCTGTAAACAATGCTGGGCAGGTTTCAAGCCCCTGGACATCTGTGCGCACTTTGGAAGCTTCACCCAGTGGCCTGAGCAACTTCACTGTGGAAAAGAAGGAAAATGGCAGGGCTCTGCTACTCAAATGGTCAGAGCCCTCCCAGCCCAACGGTGTGATTAAGGTAATCTTCATCTTGACATTTCACTTGATCAAAACAGAGAAGGGAAATACTGAATATCAAATGAAAGCATTTTTGCTAAAAAGGACTCAATCAAATGCATTATAGTTTACAATAAGACAGAAGTCCTGTGTAAGCACAATTCACTCTGTGAATTCCCTCTGCTTTCATTATATTAAAATAAGTATTAACATTCTTGTGCTACTCCATGACTGTAAATGTTCATTTACACTGAACCAAATTGTTCATTGAATGCACAGAAAGCTACACATGAAAGCTCAAAATGTCACTTTTTGTACATTAGACACCATCAAAATGTGTTTCTAGAAAACCTGGATTTGACAGAATGTTGTTCTGGAATTTGGGACTTTGGGACTCAGTGGTTTCAACTGAGTGTAAACCTTTACCTGCAAGGTTTGCTACTAGAGAGGTTTATTTGGAGGTTTTTTTCCATAAGTGATTTTCTTTAGAGCTAGTCTGTGAGAAGCTTTCCTCTAGCCTATGAGAGCCTCGCAATGAAACTTGATAACAATCAAATATAATGAAAACTGTCACTAAGTGATTTATTACTGCATTCAAAATGAAAAAATCATGAAAATTGGATCAAAACACTCCTTTTGTATCAATGACCTGTTTGTGTGCTGATTGTTACTAGCAAGAAAGTAAGTTTCTGAATCACTGGTTGATAGTCCTTATCCTATTGCAAAGATTAAAGAGTCTCATCTACTGGTTATTGACAAAAACTGTTGATCTTTTTTCCCCCTTTTATCCTGGCTTCTGTCCTTCCTTCCCTGCCTGCCTTTTTTTCTTTTTCTTTCTTTATTCACCAGACCTACAATATTTTCAGCGATGACAACCTGGAGTACAGTGGTTTATCTCGGCAGTTCCTCTTCAGGCGCCTTGAGCCGTACACTCTCTACACCCTCATACTGGAGGCTTGCAATGCAGCAGGATGCACTCGTTCTCCACCCCAGCCAGTCCGGACAGACGAAGCACCCCCAGTGTCTCAGATGGCACCTGTAATCCAGGCAGTGAATGCCACCAATGTTGAACTGAGCTGGTTGCAGCCAATTAATCCAAATGGAAAAATAATTCGCTATGAAGTTATTCACAGATGCACAGAAGAAAATGCTGCGGGGTACAGAGCGACAACAGAAGATGAGAAAATTGTTTTCACAGAATATAACACTGAAAGTAATACATTCGTATATAATGATAAAGGTTTGCAGCCATGGACAAGGTATGAATATAAAATACGCACCTGGAATGCAGCAGGCTACACTGACAGCTCCTGGACAGTGGCAAAGACTAGTCAAACTGCCCCAAAAGGTCTTGCCATCCCCAGGTTATCTGTGGTGTCAGCTAACCCCCATAAAGTGTTCATATCATGGGCCCCCCCGGCACATCCCAATGGCATTCTTCAGTCGTACAGGCTGCTAAAGAATGATGTTCTCTACCCTTTCAGCTTTGATGCTGCTACTCTCAGCTACATGGACGAAGACTTACTGCCCTATACAGTGTACAGCTACGCAATAGTTGCCTGTACAATGGGAGGCTGCTCCACCAGTGAGCCAGCTGCCATACGGACACTGGAAGCAGCTCCTGCCTTGGTGGACCCACCATCTCTGCGGGCTGTCAGTGCCACTCAGATCAATGCATCTTGGGCACCTCCTCAAATACAAAATGGAGATATTACCAAGTACATATTGAAATTAAACAATGAGGAGTATTATCCTGGCAAAAATTTGCAAATATTGGTTTCTAATCTACAGCCTTACACACAGTATGATTTTGCATTGGTTGCCTGTACTGCTGGGGGCTGCACAGCCAGTACATCCCAGTCCGTGATGACCATGGAGGCTCCACCATTAAATATGGAAGCTCCCAGGCTGCTTGTCATGGGCTCAGAGTCGATTGAAATCACATGGAAACTTCCAGATAAGCCCAATGGTAACATCACAAGCTATGAGCTGAGAAGGGATGGTGTACTTGTTTACTCAGGTCTGGAAACTCGTTATCTTGATTTCACCCTAACGCCAGGCATGGAGTACAGCTACACTGTCACTGCAAATAACAGTCAAGGGAGCGTGACCAGCCCATCAGCTCAGATAAAAACCAACCCCTCTGCTCCATCTGGGATGTTGCCTCCTAGGTTGCAGGCATGGTCCTCAAATGAGATTTTGGTGGCCTGGGATCCTCCTATCAAAGTGAATGGTGACATAATAAATTACACAATCTCCATCCACAAGCCTGCTGAAACAGGAAAGAAAACTTTTGACTTCGATGCATCTCATGTTTCCTTTCTGAGACGGTCATACATAGTGGCACAGCTACAGCCCCACAGTAGGTAAGTCTGGAAGAACTCATTCGTTGAATAAATGCTGCAGGAAGGTTCAGTGGGCTGGCTGACAGCTCAGCCATCTTGATTAAACAGATAGTCAGATCCATAGGTTTTGTTTTCTAAAAAGCAAATGATAAAACCAGGATTTTTTTTAATTTATAGTAACACCAGCTATATATCATCTTGATGAAGTACATAGTGTTGACTTAGGTTGTAATTAATAGAAGGGGTAATTCACTACTCTGCTATAGACTCCAAAACCTGCAATCTTGTACTGCTGTATCTTTTGCAAGATGTCTGCATTCAAGAATGCAGGCTTGAGATGACAAAATTTGGGGTGGGGAGACCAAAGTCATATTAGCTCACCCATCTACAGAGTAGCTGAGCCGAGATTAATAGAGTCACGCCAGGAACATATTTGTAGCCTCAAGTTGAAAACAAGTGACTTGTGATGAAGTGAAAGCTTAAAACTTAAGAGAGGGTACCAGACTCCGCTACAGAAGCACACTTGATACTGTAGTAGTATCTTCCCCACTATTTCTTGATTATTTACCTGACCTTTCCTTATATATTTGTGTAGGCATAATTTGTGTGAGTTACATAGTTGATAAGTTTGTCTACTATTTACATATAACTAATCTAAATCCGAAGAGAAAAGAGTAATAGAGTGAAGCTTTACAGCTCTCAAACAACATCCAAATCATTTCCTACAGTGAATCATCATTTTGATTTATATCATCAAAATAAAAACAATTTTGATCACTTGACTCCTGCAGATGTTAATTCTGCTCTGAAAAAAAAAAAACCAAGACAAACCACAACCAAGTAAAACCCAAGAAGACAGTGTTCTTCCTCTTTGCTACACAAGACACGGCACATAATCTGTGTGTTCATGCAAACTGTGTTCCTATTAAAAATTCCAAAGACCAGGAGAAACTAAGAAATCCACCAGATTTCATGCACAGTTTATATTTGTATTTGCAGTGTTTTAATCACTTTGTTCCTGATTTATGTTCCCAAAGGTATGAAGTACAGCTCCAAGCTTGCACAGAGCTGGGTTGTGCCTCCAGTGAGTGGGCATCGGTACAGACGCTGGAGGCGCCGCCGGCAGTGCAGCCTGCCCCTCTCATCGAAATACAGACAACAGCCGGAGGCTTCCAGTCGACTGCTTCCATCCTGTGGACTGGCCCAAAGCAGCCAAACGGGAAGATTTTATACTATGAACTTTACAGAAGGCGAACAACTCAAGCCCACATAAATTTAGACCTCGCACTTGTTTTCAATGGTTCTTCAACCTCCTTCAAAGATGACAAGTTGCTGCCTTACACAGAGTATGAATATCAGGTGGGAATTGAAGCTATTTAGCAGCTCTGATTATGGTTTCAGTACACTTTGATAGCTTTACTTTACACGTACAATGAACATACACATCTCAATTCTAATGTTAATAGTATTGTGAAACCTGAATGATTATTGTTAATGTATTTTAAAGAGCTGAGAAGCTGAAAATAATTTTGTACAAGCAATATATTCATTCAGCATTCGTTTTTCTCTACCTTAGTCATAGGTGCCTGTATTTCTTATATGTTAAATGTTTATGTACCCTCCAGAGCTTCTGCAAATCTCTAATGTTATGCAAGTAGTGTGAAATTCTAATTCTTAAAAGGCAGCTTTTTTTCATTATTTTTTCTTTCTTTTTCCAATCTATTATGAATTAATTTTTACTTTATGAACTTAGAGCAGTTTAGATCAAGAGGGTTGTTTTCCTTTAAATTAGTCATTAGAATTACAAGAAGATTTTGTGAGTGGTTCAAAAGTGAACCTGTTAATAGTTGAGGTTACTTCTCATGCACATAGGTATTTTTAGTGTTGTTTTTCTTATGAGCCTGAGACCAGTTCTGCCATTCTTTCACCTGTAACTGTTTTCTATATCAAAGTTACAACTTGTAGCAGCATTTTATCGTACAGTACTACTGGTAATGTAGGGCTTTACTTGACTACAGACTGTGAACTAAGAACTTTCCTATTTATAACCATCCAAAATCTTTGCCAAGTTTTTATATGAGTTAGTGAAGTTTAGAGCCTCACCAAAAAAACAACCTTGAATTTGTTGTTTCTAAAAATAAGTGGACATACTATCATAGCAGGATAAGGTTGATTTTTTATTTTGATGTTGTCTATTAATAGGAATGCTTATTTGCCACTGAACAAGATACCAGCAAGCCTCATTACTGATCCTGTTTGCAATGATACCTTGAAGATATATTTGGCAATGCTCAAAGTCTTTACAACCATTTTCCTAAAAAACCCAAAAGTTAAATTGTTTAAGAATTCATTTCTATATATAAAACCGTGCATTCCCCCTCTTGAGCAAAGTGGTGGCAAATCTTTCTTTTACAGGCTCATTTGTTTTATAGGATCGCAAGATAATTCAGGTTGGAAGGCTTCTCAGGAGGCCATGCAGCCCAACTTTCTGCCCAAAGCAGGATCAGTTAAGAGATCAGATGAGGTTGTGCAGGGCTTTATACAGTTGCATCTTGAAAACCTTCAGGGAGGGAGATTGTTTAACCTCCTGGGCAGTCTGTTCCACTGCTTGGCTGTCCTCATTGCGAAAAAGTTTTTTTGTTACTTTCAGTCTGAACTTTTTTTGCTTGAACCTGTTTTGTCTTATCCCCTGCCACTACATACCATAGTAAAGAACCTGGACCCACCCTCTTGTTAGCCTATAGTTATGTGCTGGGGGACTGCAGTCAAGTCCCTCCAAAGCCATCTCTTCTCCAGGCTGAACAAGCCACAGCTTCTCCTTATAGGCAAAGTTTTCCAACCCCCTGATTACCTTGGTGGCCTTGGCTCCAATTTATCAATCTCTTTCTTGTATTTGGGGCCAAAACAAAACAAATACTGAATAAAGGCATGTAATCACTTCCTTTAATTGCCTGGCTATGCTCCTGTTAATCAGCTCAAGATGTTGGCTGCCTGTGCTGCCAGATTATTTTGCTGGCTCATGTTCAGTTTTCTATCTACTAAGACCTCTAGGTCCTTTCAAGCAGAGGTGCTCCCTAGTTGGTCAGCTCCCTAGTTGTTAACCCTGTAACACTGCAGAAGTTATTCCTTTCCAGGATCAGGACTTTTCGTCTGTCTTGCTGAAATTTGTACAATTCCTGATGACCCATTGTGCTAGGCCCTTCTGAATGGCAGACCTGCCCTTCAGCATATCAGCTGGTCCTCTCCAGTTTGGTGCTCTGCTCCACTACTGTTGTTTTGTTCTTTTTAGTATCCAGAAATCATGAAGAATTAAATCTAAAATCTTGCTTTGTCACATTTGTCTATGCAGCTGCTGTATGTACATGTGTCATAGACTCATCAAGTCATGTAGGTTGGTAGGGACACCCAGAAGGCATCTAGCCTAACTCCCTGCTTGAAGCAGGTCCAGATAGAGCAGGCTGGTCAGGGCTGTGTCCAGCTGAGTTTTGGCTCAAGTTCTCCATCCTTGCAGATGCAGATGCAAGGATGGAGATTATACAGCCTGCGTGGGCAGAACTATTGTTAGACCAGATTTCCTTGCTACTTTAGACAGGATCTGAGACAAATCTGTGACAAATTCAAGTGCAGATGGGGCTGAGTGGATAGCAAGCATTATAGCAAGACCCAAACCCTGCTATTAGTTAGGAATCTTTCTTAGATGAAGAAAAACCTCTCCAAACTGGAAGTTGTAGACATTGGCTGTGGCATATTCTCAGTTGGATTAACTTTCAATCATCTCAATCATAAGCTGTTTTTTGGGAAGTTGATACTACAAAGTTTTTAATGATCTGTCAGTAATGGATAAAAAAAAAGAAACCTCTTGACCAGATTCCTGTGGTTTACTGTGCTGTATTCAAGACTTTGCTTTTTATCTTGGTTCTGCTCCATAGCCAGACTGAGCTTTAGACTGGAACTCTAAATCATTTTGGGGTTTTTTTCACCAGTGGCCATTTATTTCACCATGAGAGGTTTTTCAATGCACGTGTTTGTCTTCTGCTTAAGTCACTTGCAGCAGTCCTCTGGGATCTATTCTGAGCTCCTCCATTGTTGACAATTTATATCTTGCCTGTGAGACAAGTTATTCATAAGTATAGGGCTTGGCTTTGCTATTATGCTGATGAAACCCAGATTTATATTTCACTTAAACTGGATATTGATTCTCCTGTCTCTGCATTTGAGGCCTGTTTGCTGGACATAAAACTTTAAATGCAACTGAATTTCCTCCAGCAGAATGCAGATAAAATCAAAGTGCTGTGATGGGACTCTCTCCAGCATTTTTGGAGACACTGAGATTTAGTTCAATGCTCTGACAACTTCTTTGGACCTGAAATCGGGATTTCAGAATCTGAAGGTTTTTGGGGAGTTGGTTGGGTTTTTTTGGTTTGTTTTGTTGGTTTTTGTTTGTTTGTTTGTTTTCATGGAAATTTCAGCTGAATATTAGGTTTTATAAGATTAGATGCAAAAGTTGCACTTTCAGAGATGATGAAGTGACTTCAGAAGCTCATGCTGGCCAAAGGGACTATGCCCCCTAAATGCTTAGGTCACTGTTCTTCAAGGAAGCACATTTATTCTTTAAGGGCTTATTTAAGGGCCAGATCTGCATAAGCATATTAGCACCTGCTAGGTTTCAGTGGGTTTTTAAGTGGCATACGGTGCTTACTGTTCCATACTCAAAAATAATTACTTAGATCTTTGAAATTCACTCTATCAGTCTATTTGTACATTTAGATACTTGCATTTTCTAGAGCATATGGCCTTTTAGGTATTTGTTGGAATGCTGCCTGATAACCTCAACTGTATTAAACATAAGCAATTAAATGATTTGCTGAAAAAAAAACTGACTTAAACAAACTCTATAACTCATGAGGCCTAATGACTTTCCAAGTGCAATCTTTTGATTCCTGGAATACTTCTGAATGTGTTGGCCCTTCTCAGGAATCATTGAGCCTGGTGTGCAACATTACCATATAGCAACCTATAGAGTAAGACCTGTTTTTCTCAGCTAAGGAAAGGCCTTTTTGGACAGCGACTTGTGGCATTTAGTGCAAAGCAGAGCTGTCATGATATAGTGTGATTTCCATGCAAATGCAATATCAGTCCTCCACAATTGCACTTAATTTTTTTCTTAAAACTGCTCCCTTAGATTAATAGCTTAATGTCTTCCTGGTTTAGGACACATCCTTATTTCTATTCGGCAGGTACAGAACATGTGAAAGACAGAAAATTGCAATTGTCCCTTTTCAGAAAGGTTTATGGCTCCCTGCAGAGGTTTATTCTCTGATAGGACTATTCAATGCACCAAGACAGGGTCTGCAGTGCTGAAGCTGTCTGCCTCCAACCACTGCAGGAGGCACAGCATCCCTCTTGCTTGTGGAGCATGCTTCTCACACACCAGTTACTGCTACCAACGAAAGGGTCTAGGAAATACCCCGAGATACACCAGGGGGAAATATGTTTTGGGTCCTCTGTCTTGACTCCTCAAAGTAAAAACAAATCTTATTCTGACTTTGGAGAGATAAAGAGAAAAAAAATGGGTGCAAAGTCATGAATATTAAGGAAGGACCAACTACATGGAGTGTAGAATATGTTAGCCCTATTAGTCACTTTTCAGAGATGACATGAAGGACACTTGGTTTACTAGCCTGTCTGTCAAATTGTTGGCTGAGCTCCAGTTTGTGCTGCTTGCTTACTTACAAACAGCTCAATGACTTCTGCAGTTTAAAATGGGGCTAAACTGTTTTTCTGGCTGACCAGTGATAGTCACCCATTTGTAATATCCCTCATATATGGCTCTTCTTCATCGTTTTAATTCCCCATTTCTTCCCATCTCTCTAACAGAAAGATGCACTACAAAGCAGTGACATAAAAGAAAAATGTAATTCTTTCTTCCATAACCTGCTTGTTGTTTTGTAAAATGGCTTTTTCTTACAGGGTTCATTGCTCTTCCTGCTTCCAATTAAAGAGAGTTTCTCATACTACATCAGCATTAGACTACCAAGCTTGACCTCAGCTTTTGAAAAGTAAAGCAGACATAACTATATTGTTTCACTGATTTAATGATAATACCCATTCTAAATACTCTTTTGCAAAATGAGATGCTTCCTTTCCCCTAGTAGAAGGTATACGGTAGGGAGAAGGGCCATTTTGTTCATTAAGCCCCACTTCTGCACTATATTTCTCTTGTCAACACCATTTTAAACTCAAGTGTGTTGATGCAACAAAACCTTGATTTCTGCTCATTAAATTAAGTATGGATATTAGACTGGATTTTTTGGCTTCCAGAATTACCAATGAGACTCTTACAGCAGTACTCTTGCAAG